AAAATTTACACTCGTCAAACTTCTTATCATATACATAGCGTCACAACAGACATTGACCATAGTACAACTTTACCGCTAAATTTTCGCGGCTTTTTCCTTTTACAACTTGATCAAAGTCACTGTTAATTTCTTTTGTAATTAGTTATGAAAACATAGTGATATATTATAATCACATTTTTTAAAATCATTGAATCTGAATTAGTGTATCAAATACTTAATGTGTAACATAGCGTAATTATCACGCCGTGCTTATCCTAGTTAGTCACCTCAGGCAATTGACCGCTTATAATAAAATCAAATTACAAGAGAGCAACTTATTTAATCAAATCTTACACACGTAGATAGTTTGTACAAAAGCTAAATTTTAGTGATTTCGACGTTGCCTTTGTATCCCCGTGAATTCAAGGATTTGAAACTCTTGATTAAATATTTCGTCAAAATTAACACTCGTCAATTTTGGTAAACAAAAAATGGTCAATTTTTCAACTCGTCAATATAACCACATTTACAGTATTATCCATCTAGCTGTCCATTTAGCAGATATGCCCAGACCAAAACTTCATGATAGGAAAACACTGAAAGTATGTACAGGACACAATGATTATGTGTGTTGACCGTTATGTAAGGTCACTTAAGCGAGTTCAAGGCCAGGTGTGGATCCAGAAATTTTTTCCCCAGGGGGGTGGGGAGGGGGGGGTCCACCCCAGTCCAAAAAAACCCAACCTAGAAATTTTTTGACAAGCAAAAAAAAAACAATAATAAAATAAAAAATAATTAAACCCCATAAACTTGCCAAATCTTAAAAACCTATCTCTTAGGAGGGGGGGGGGGCATGACTTCTAAAACATCAACTCTTTTAACACAAATTCACATTTACTAGGGGGAGGGGGGTCTGCGTTTTCCATGGAGGGGGGGGGTTCAAGGTAAGTTTTTGTTGCTTTAGTATATAAATTTGATAACCTTGCAGATTCCAGGGGGGATTCCTGAACCCCCTCTAGATCTGTGCATGAAGGCCAAAAATCACCTAATCAAATCATTTCTCAATCAACAAGTTGAAAAACAACCTCATTTGTATTGCATGGGTGACTCTGACCCCCCTTTTTTTCAAAAACATTTGAATCAATGTAAGAAGATCTGTAATCTGTATAATGCAGATATAAATAGGAAACGTACTCAAATTTGTTTTAAATTTTTAGCAGCTGGTGATGTAAATACATTCAGTGTGTATTTCTGAGTTTGTACATTATTATATATTTCTTGTTAATTTTGTAGATGGAGATACACTATTGATGTGCCTTCTTCTTTCCGACTCCTACAAAATAAACATGAAAGAAGGAAACTGGATGACCAAATATAATGCTGTTGCCAAATGTCTTAACTCAAAGGAAATCAAAAAGCCATCTGTCAATACACATTTAGAAAATTACAAACCAGTTCTGAAACTCAATGAATCAGAGATCAGTTTTTCCTCTGAGGTCTTCAAAAACATTAGTTTCCTTAAATTTTCAAAGAGTTTTGAGTTTAACTTTACCGATATTTTCTTAAGTTGGGCAAAAAAAGAAAACATCGCCGAATACTGTAGATCCTGGAATTATCGGAGAGGAGAGGATGAAGTTTGCTGTTGGTTGCTGCCAGAAAAAAATGAGGAGTTTTTAGAAAAACTTGGAGAAGATATTTTCATGCACCAAACAATGGGGGACCAGTCATTTAATGAAGCCGTATTTAGAAAACGTAAGTCTATTTTCAGCTCACCTGAACTAGTTACTTTCATAAAATTTAACAAGAGAAGTTTTTGGCTAATGAATTTATGTATATTATTTGTCCGTGATTTCATCTATAACTTAACTTTCAGATCTTTTTATTTTCTTTTAATCCTTTACGTTGATGTCCCAAGTCAAACACATAAACACTCAGCTCACCTGAGCCATTCATGTTTGAAAAATGGTTAGAGTCCTAGACCTTTTGTCATCTGTAGACTGTACACATTGGATCTCTTTTATAGAATTTAATTAAACTTAGATGAAAATACTGTTGGGTAATTTGAGAAGTGATACATTTAAGAATTTGCAAAACTTATGCATTTTTTAAAGACAGTTTATATGCAACTATTGATTCATGGTTTAATTAGTCAGAATGCAATGCTTGTCACATTTAAAACTTTGTCAAATAAGTATGCAATTCAGTTTGTGTTACATCAAATTTTAACATGTTATTATGTTGCATGTATTGGCTTATGATCATTGCTAGACAAACAGACCTATGTTTTAAAAAGTATAATGCTGAGTATTGTTTTAACAGTAAAGGTATTCTAAGGCCATATAAAATTGAAATCTTGGTTTCAAGCCCGTGCGCATCCGTTTTGAGGTAGCCGCATTGCCGATTTTATTGTATTTTGATAAAATAAAAAGTTGGCGTTGCGGAGACCAATCCGGAAAAAATTCCAACCTCATTTGTTTTGTAGTTTAGTATTCAAATATCACTTCCGGTAGCCATTTACAATGAAATATAGGCTAATCCGATTTTATATAGTATCTATGACTTTAGCTACTATGATTACACGCTGATAAGCATTGGATAAAGCAGAAATTTTGATCAGACATGGAAAGTATATCTGTGATTAAAAAAATTATCTTTATGTTAAAGAAAATTCGAAAATTAAAAAAATACCTCCCTCATCTACTTTAATACCAATAAAATGATAAATAAAAAGCCGCCCTCCCGCATCTGTTTTGGAGAAAATTGGCCTGAGAACCAGATAATTTAATTTAGATAGCCTAATTTAATCAAGATAAAAATGTTAATCTTTCTTTTCTACTTTTATTTTTAATTGCCATTCTGATAAGGGATAAAAAAATCTCCATGATAGAAGGTTATTTTTATGATTGTTTATAATCATTTGTTTGACTCCGTCACAGCTTTGTAATGTTAGAGTTTTGTCATTATAGTTGGAATACCAATGCAGATTATACTAAGGGGAGACAAATCAGTGACGAACTTCATTGAGAATTTAAAGAAAGGGGAGAACAACCATGTATCATGCCTCTGGGATGATAATAGGGTGTGCTGGTAGTGGTAAAACCACATTGTTAGAGAGACTGAAGGGCATTGACCTGGAGAAAATAAAGAAAAAAATCAGGTCAACTAGAGGAGTCGATATCCACACAGATGTGTTTGATGTGAAAGAAAGCATCCAAGGTAGTTTTAGCTCACCTGAGCTGAAGGCTAAAGTGATCTTTTCTGATCACATTTTGTGGATCGTTAATTGTGGCTGCTAATCCATCTGTAAACTTTTAACATTTTCGACTCCTCCCAAGAGCAACTCGGCCAATTTTATCTAAACTTGGTACAAAGCATCCTTGGGTGAAGAGAGAATTCAATATATAAAATGACAGGCCAAGTTCCCTCACAAAGGGATAATATAATCAAGAAAACACAAAAATAGGGTGGGGTCATTAAAAAATCTTCTCAAGAACCACAGGGCAAGAAAAGCTGAAACCTATGTCGAAGCACCACCTCCGCCCTCTGCCCTTACTTGTCTGCTTAGAAAGTAGGATGTGTAAGAGCGTTGAGGTTGTACTCCTATCCATCCTACCATCTGTCCGTTTATTATGTTTTGGGTTATTACTCATATTACTCTTATTACTCTTCATTACCATTAACCACTGAATAAAAATTGTTACTACTTAATAAAATGCATGAAATTTTCACAGAATCTTTGTTAAATAGAGAAATTTTAAATTTTCTGTTTTACTCTCTGTATGGACACGTTTCTGGTTTCCTAATGCAAAATATAGACACTACCGTTATATTGGTGGTACCCATCTCAAATTTGCAACTCAACCTGTACAACTTAATAAAGTTAAATGACACTTTCACATAATATTTACTACATACTGTCATTCCGTACTGCATTCTTGATGTTAAGATTGGACAGATATTTGGTTTTTCAATAGTAAAACAAAGACTTTAACATCATACTCATATGGAAGCTGCCTGGGTATATCATTTTGTGAGCTCGATACTCTCAGTACCTTGAGATTTTAATTCGTGACTTGCGGATTTATATAACGTAGAATAAAAGTATATTTTCATAAAGTACAGGGACAACAAAGGGAGACAGTGTTAAATTTGTATTCATTTTTATTTACAGCAAATTCTTCACGCCAACAGCAACACTTTAAACTTCGACTTGATAAAAAAGATATGAATCAGAGTGTTCCTGAATCTCATTCAGAAAATGCAGCCGATGATGAGGAAACGCAGGAAAAGATGAAACCAGTTGAAGAAGATGGCAGTACGACTGAAGCATCAAGCAGTGGACAGATATCACATGGTAATATCGACATTAACCCTACCTCATCCCATGAACCACAGGGTGCCACATCACCAGAAAAAGTATCAGAATTTATGAATGAAAGAAAAGATATTCGTCATAGTCCAGAAATTTCTGGAAATTTACAGATAGGTGCAGAAGATATTTCAGAAGATCCAGATAAAAAAATAACCATGACTGACTTTGCAGGGCAGTGTTCATATTATGCCTCACACCAGATTTTTCTGAGTCCTCGAGCGTTCTTCATTCTGGTGCTGAATATGGAGAAGAAGTTTGATGATAAGGTTGGAGAAGAAGTTTGTTGTCAGGAAGGCTCCGTTTATGGGGGATGGACACACAGAGGTGATATTCAATTATTACACATATGGCCCCAAAAATAGTTTTTCGAGTACCATCACATTAGATCAAAATGTTATGCATTGATAAATGTTATTGACATATAAAAAAAGGAAATAATTTAAATTTCCATATTTTCAGAGCGTATCTGTCCCATTTAATTTTGAAATTTTTATCCTAAATGAGAATTATTTTTAGGGCCCCGCAAGGATTTGCGGGTGCCCTATAGTAATCACTCTGTCTGTCCGTCCGTCTGTCTGTCTGTCTGTCCGTCCGTGTTTACGAGAGTGCATTTATTGGGTATTTTTCATGCCAAGATTGTACTTATTGGGTACTTTTTGCTTATTGGGTATACCCAATAAGAAGTGTCGCTGAATATGCTTAAAACACCCTAATTGGGTATTTGCAGGTTAGTACCCAACAAAAATTGGACACGACGATTTGTCCAAAAAAGTGTCCAAAAAAGTTGCTTTCACGGACGCACCGTGTTTTGTTGTTTCAGTTTTACATTCGGAACTCTAAATTCTCGAGAGTTCCGAAAATCAACTTCCGTTGATCCTGATCATAACAACGTTTGTTTTCATGGAAAAAAAATATGGCGACTAAGAAACACTTAATGTCAACAAGATTTTCTGATTGACAAGAGAAAAGGTAAGTTTATTCGATTAATATTTATCCATTGCTGGGTTCTTGTTTAAGGAAAATAGATTTTAATGTAATTTTGAAAACAATTGTGCATAAAATTAAAATAGATATATCGGAACAATTAATCCTGAGTTGCACTTGTTTGTATTTTGAATTTTCTCTGTCTTTTTAACTCTCTTGAGGGCGAGAAGTATTTAGTAAATGATCGTATATTGTTAGATAATCTTAAATAAATCGAAAGTGTTTATTATTTAATTTTATATCATGACCAACTAAGTATGTTCTTACAATGTATATTGAAAAGGGAAATGAAAATTTTAACAATCGTGTGTTCATAAATCACTTAATCAGCTGTAAATTATCGGTTCATGTACACAGTATTAAAATCGCAAAGTGAGCTGAGATGATGATAAATGGGATAATTGACAACAACTAAATAATTGTATGTAAGTTTATCTCATCTGATATGTAACTTAAGAGATTCATTGTATTACTGAAAAACTTTCAGTCAAAAGAGTGCTTCTTTTTGTCTTTGATTTTGACTGAGTGTCTGCTTTAGTTTGATTTTTTTTTAGTTATCGTTTTTGTCATTTGTTTTAATTAATTTTAAACAATACTGAAATTGATATAGGGGTA